CCTTTATTTCACTTAGCATAGCCTTCATTTTTTCATCTAATTTGCTACCAAATTCAACCAATTCTGTGAGCATCCTGATTACCAGTGTTTTGAACTGGACATCTGATAGGTTGGCTTTCTGGAGCTTTGATCTGTTCTTCCATTTGGGCCATTTTTTTTTTTTGTCTTGACACACTTGTTACATAGTGAGGGGTGGAGCCTTATGTATTCACCCCAGAGGGGTAATCCACGTTGCTTCGTTGTGACACTGTATGTGGGTGAGGGGTCAGAGAGGGAACAATGGCACTTGCTCCATTCTCTGCCGGCTTTCAATCACTTCTCCTGCTTCCCACAAGCAAATTGGGCCCTTCTGGTGCTGATTCCCATGTGGGTGGGTGTGTGTACATTCTAGGACCCTGTGGGTCTCTCCAACAAACTCTCCTGTGAGGCTGGGAGTTTCTCCCACTGCCACCTCAACCCCCACAGGTGTTTTCAATCGGTGTTTTGAGGCTTTATTTCCCCGTGCTGGGGCACTGGGTTGTGCAGTCCGTCCTGCTCCCCAGTTGTTCCTCCTGGTTTATCTGCACATGAATGTGGGACTGCCTGCTCCACCAGCCACCACTGCAGTCTTGCTGGTCAGCTGCAGCCTTGCATGCCCTGCCCCAAAATCCAGCTGAGTCTGCAAGCCACTGCCTTGCCCATCCAGGTCCTCCACCACCACTCTGCCTCAAGCCCTCTCTGTATGCCCATCTCCGCCTCTCCTACCAGTCTGGATGAATGTGTCTTGTTTAACTCCTTGGTTGTCGGACTTACATACAGTTCAATTTTCTGTCAGTTCTGGTTGATTTTTGTTTTTAAATTGTTGTTGTCCTTTTGGTTGTGCAAGGAAGCACAGTGTGTCCACCTATGCCTCCATCTTGGCCAGAAGTCCTAAAAAATGGTTTTAATATACCTACCACACCTCCTTTCTCCCCTGAAAAAGTAAAACAAAAACAGTAAAATGCTTGTAACTATTATCTTTATGTTATGGAACCATATATTGATTTCTTCTTATATGTTTCCTAAACTTTGTCTATAGTTCAGTACATCCTTAACTGTTCCAATGTATCACTTTTAATTACCCATGGATGCTTACTAGATAAAGAGCTTACTTTCCAAAGCCCTTTTAACTACTTCCCCTGGCCCTGGCCTCACTTCTCTGTATCCTGTAGTTAGACGCATTACGTAAGACTCTTCACTGGGCCCTTGTCAGCTTTAAGGAGGGAAACACTATATGCCCTCTCAATGATACCTACCAATGTCTTAGTTGCCTTTCAGAGATTCTTAGCCCAGCCAGCCTGAAAGGGATGAATACATACTGCAAGGATATAAAAGATGAGGTGACTGCACAAGGTCATCTTATAACTTAGTGGTAGAACTAAGGCCACCTGAGTCTTGTATATGGCACACTGCCCTTCCATTTGTGTAAATTATTCCTGCAGCTAACCTCACTCACTTGTGCTACAATTTGGGCTCGTGGCTTCTTGCTCTTACACAAACAGCCAAGCTGTCACCCAGTAAAACTATAGTCGTGGATTCTGATGCCATAGATATATATCATGCTGCCTTTAAAAAATATTTATTTTAGTCATCAATCTGTGGTTTGTTAGAGCCTACATAGCTGGCTTCCTCATTTTAGAGATGGTGAGATTGAAACTAAAGGATGTTAAGAAAAATACAGGACTTCTTGTCAAGATAGAGGCATAGGTAGACACACTTTGCCTTCTTGTACAATCATAAGAAGGATCACAAATAACCTCGAAACAAGAAACACCCAGAACTGTCAGAAAATCAAACTGTATGGCAGTCCAACAACCTAAGATTTAAAAAGGTCATATTCATCCAGATGGGTAGGAGGGGCAGAGGTGGGGAGCAAAGAGGGAGAGGACATGACGTGGCAGAGGCTGCAAGGCAGCAGCCAGCGGAACAGGGGGTCCCACATCCATGTGTGGTGGATAAAAATTGGGAGGGATACCTTGGGAACAAGGGGTCCCAGCCCTAGGACAGACTGCTCAGCCCAGGGTTCCAGTGCCAGGAAAATAAAGCCTCATAACTTCTGGCTGTAAAAACCACTAGGGGTTGAGGCAGTGGAAGAAACTGCTGGTTTTTCATGAGAGTCCATTTGAAGGGTCCACATGGCCCTAAAATGTATACAAACCCACCCACTCTGTGAACCACCACCAGGGCAAGAGCTAGAAGGGTGCCAGTCGCATATGGAAAGTGGGTGAAGTGACAGGAAATGGGATGAGTGCTGAGCAAGCCTCTAGCAGCCAGGCAGCAGCATTGTCCCCTTGCTAACCCCTCCCCCACATACAAAGCCACAAAGTGGTGAAGCGGGTTACCACACCCTGGTGAATATCTAAGACTCTGCCCTATATAACTTAACAGGTGTGCTAAGACAGGGAGTCAAAGCAGCTCTACCTAATACACAGAAACAGACATAGGGAGGCTACCAAAACAAGGAGATGAAGAAATATGGCCCAAATGAAAGAACAGAACAAAACCCCAGAAAAAGAACTAAACCAAACAGAGGTAGCCAACCTAGCAGATGCAGAGTTCAAAACACTGGTGATAAGGACATTCAGAGAACTCACTGAGTATAGCAAAAGCATAAAAGAAATTAAGTCTACACTAGGTGAAAGATAAATCCACAGGGAATCAATAGTGAAAGGAAAGAAGCTGGGGTTCAAATTAATGATTTGGAACACGAGGAAGAAATAAAAAATTAACCAGAACAGAATGAAAAAACAAGTGTTCAAAAAAAAAATGAGGAGAGAATAAGAAGACTCTGGGACATCTCCAAAAGCTCCAACATCTGAATCGTAGGGATGCCAAAAGGAGAAGAAGAAGAGCAAGAAATTAAAAACTAATTTGGCAAAGGAAATAGACATACAAGCCCAGGAAGCACAGAGAATACCAAACAAAATGGACCCAAAGAGGACCACACCAAGACACATCATAATTAAGATGCCAAAGATTAAAGATAAAGAGAATCTTAAAAGCAGCAAGAGAAAAGCAGAGAGTTACCTACAAAGGAGTTCCCATAAAACTATTAGCTGATTTCTCAAAAGAAACTTTGCAGGCCAAGAAGAAACTGGCAGGAAGTATTCAAAGTGATGAAAAGCAAGGAACTAAAACTAAGATTACCCTATCCAGCAGAGCTATCATTTAGAATGGAAGGACAGATAAAGTGCTACCCAGACAAGAAAAAACTAAAGGAGTTCATCATCACCAAGCCATTATTACATGAAATGTTGAAGGGACTTATTTAAGAAAAAGAAGATCACAACTATGAACATTAAAATGACAACAAACTCACAACTACCAACAACCTATTCTAAAAAACAAAAACTAAGTAAAAACTGGAACAGGAACAGTATCATAGATACGAAGATCATTTGGAGGGTTATTAATGGGAAGAGGGAAGGGGGAGAATGGGGTAAGGGTACAAGGATTAAGAAGCATAATTGATAAGTACAAAATAGACAGGGGAGGTTAAGAATAGTATAGAAAATGGAGAAGCTGAAGAACTTATATGCATGACCTTTGAACATGAACTAAAGGTGGGGTATTGCTGGAGGGAAGGGGGATACCAGGCAGAAGGGGATAAAGGGGGAAAAACTGGGACAATTATAATAACCTAATCAATAAAATATACTTAAAAAAAGAAAAGAAAAACACAATGTCTTGTTATTCCCAGTATAATGCAACTCATTCATTCATCCATCCACTCTCAAAGATGTATTAAGTAGCTGCTGTTTTCAAGATTCTATGTCAGGTAGACTATTTGGGAATTGTAAGAGTAAATTAAGTACAACAATAATCATCCAAGATCCATACAATTGAGTGTTGGAAATAAGGTACTCAAGAAACTGTTCTTACTGGCATGTTAAAGTTAAAATAAAAGACATCTGCTTTCTATATATCCCCCAGCAATTGATCCAGTCTCTACATTGTTTTCTTTGTTTGTTTGTTTTTACATGAGCCCTTTGTCTAGATAGAGGGGACATAGGATATAAAGCGGAGAGGCAGGGAGACGTGGGGGATCTGTAGGAAAAGGCATGTGATCCTAGTTGGAAAAGAGCCATGTGTAACATTACAGGAAAGACTTCTGGGGGCCGAATTATGAGCCATAAATTTCAGGCAAAGGAGATTAGATATTACACACTGGATATGGATACCTCAGTCAGTTCTCAGCAGGAAACAGGGTTTACAGAAGAGGTGACAAAGCATTTTACAAGTTTTTAACTATTTACAAAGACACGAGCAGGGTTAGACAAGATCAGCAAAAGATATTGAATACTCTGGAATTAACGAAAGCAGGAAACACTTAACCATCCCTAGGCCTGAAGCAGAAAAAAAAAAGGTGCAGTTACTGGAACCCTGGCAAGGACAACAGGAGGAAAGGGACACCCACAAGGAGCTATGGACTTTAACACAGGGATAAACTCAACCTGCAAACTGTCTGGGAGGTTGCTAAGGAGGAATAAGTACCACAGCCTCACTCTGCCACCTGCTGCGATCTCCTTCCTCTCCTAGGCTGAGGAAAAGGATGGGTTGAAAGCCAGGGGGAAGAGAGCCCAGTGTTGCAGTCTACAATGTCATCCCCCTGGGACATGAGCAGCGTAGAGCAGGGTGGAGGCTGAGTCTCTGGGATCAAACAAATATCTGGCACAGCGAGGAACTATAAACGATTCTGAATAGGGGAGCCCTATGAACTATGCTTCAGTAGCTCTGAGCTGTCTGCAGTCCAGGGAATGGAGGGAAGAAGGTTCTTGCAATAGGTCTGGAGAGAGAGGTTGAAGACTTGGACTTAGGGCAACGGTAGAGGGAGTAGAAAGAAGGTTTTGAACCATGCTGCCTCTAAACAGACGAGCTTTTTCCCCTAAAGTAGTTTCTCCTCCACTCCAATCTGTTTTTGAGAAGTTCTTTATTTTCTTATCAGAAAAGTAATTTTCCTATTTGTGGACTTTTCTCCTCAGATTTGAACCTGTGTCTCCGGAGCTGAGGTGAATTGTTGGGACATCCTCAAGAAGCTTCTGGACCCTGGATGAGAGTCCTTTGGCCCACAGAACATGTTTGTAATTTTCAAATGCCTTGTGTGACCCGGCACTTTAATCTGGAGACTGCAACAAGACTAGTCAGCACCTGGTCATGGTGTGCTTAGAGGAAGTTGAGCAGCTCTCCAGCTCTCACCTCTGCCGCCTGTGACTGAGCAAGCACTGTTGCACTTTAGAAAATGACCGCTTTGGATCCTGGACACCCGTGAGTGTCCTGAGGCTCCTTCTTGCTGTCAGACTAAAGAATTCCAAAGTAATTTCCAGAAGTAGAGATAAGTGGAAATTTTCGTTACAGAAGGGGAAAGATTGCCAATAGAGTTATTTTTATATGTTGTTTCCTCTGTATACCGGAAAAACCTATCAAGACTATCAGCTCACAGATAAGGCTTTATACAAAGTCAAGCCATAATGGACATGTTTTATGGCTCACTGGAATCTTGAATGCATTCAAGTTCTAATTAACAGGAAGCATGTAAGTACACAGAGTGGCCAACTACAAATTGTGGAGAAAAGTCATTGAGCATTTTTGTGAGGTCTAAATCACAGAGCATTTATTTCACCTATAATGGTACCGTGTTAAATGGTGATTTTTTGTTATTGTTCTAAACTACATCTTTCTTTCCATAAATTCTGGGTTTTTTTATTAACCTTGGAACCATGATACACATTTTAAAAATTTGGCATGCAATTATGCTGCAAGGATCTCAGATGAGTAGCCATAATGGTCAAAGCCCCAAACACAGGCTTATTTCCTGGCCCTCTATATGACTCCATTTTTTTAAGTGCCATATCAAATTTTACTTTTAAGGTTTAATATTTAAGTACTTTTTAAATTTTAAAATAATTTCAAATGTACTCTAAATTTCTAAGTATACAAAGATCTTTTTTTTTTTTTTTCTGAACCATTCAGAAATATCAGCACTGGCTGAGTTAGTGTGCACTTCTGATGTTAAAGAACATTTTCCCATGTAACTACAAGATAACCCATCTATTGGGGCATATGACTTTAAACTTACCCTTTAGTAATTCAGTTTCCATGTCTGTGAAACCAGCTAGTCAAGGCTTTTGATTGTTGGCACTATAGAAATGCTGCGGGATCCCATTATGTGTATGTCAAGGTGGGGTGGGGAGTGGGTAACCGGGCACAGCAGCAGCAGTTTAATCATGTTAAATTTTGTATCTGTGATGGGGACATGAAACTCAAGGCATTAGTTGACCCATGAACCATCCAAATATATATGTATATGTGTGTGTCTGTGTATATATAAAGGGGATTCCTTAGTAATCCCCTATGTGCTGGCCACTATCCTTTGCTAAGTAGACAGTGCCCGGACCCTATCAAAGCTGCAGAATGTTTCTCCTGAATCCTTCTCCTAAGGGATTTCCAAGGAATTTCCAGCCAAGTTATACCAGCATCAGTTTGGAGTCCCATGTATGGGCTCTCCTCTACACATAACACCTCCTTTCTGGGACCTCATTTCTCCCTGGCAAAATTCTATCCACCCTTCAGATGCTAGTTCTCCCAGTGAATATTTTCTGATTTTCCTCAGCTGAATATGAGCTCTTACTTTGGGCAGAGCAATGTTTTCTTTGTTCCTCTCTGGAGAGCTTCTTTCTCAGTTTTAAATCATGTGCATTTAAGCAATAGTTCTGTTTTCCTCTTGGAATGTAAGTTCCTGGAAAGCAGGGAAATTGTGGGATTTTGTCATTAGTGGGACATCTTGCATGTGATACATACCTCATGCATGATTGGCTATGAGAATCATTATAAATTTGAGGAGAATGACTATACCTTTTATGATCTCATATGATTCGTTAAAAAGTATATAAATGGCCATCTTTAAAATAAAAGAACGAGATGAATTTTAAGTTAAAAAAAAGTACCTTTTACAGAGGAAGCAAAAATGGCATTTGGGAGAGTTTAAGGAATTGAGAAAGCATACAAACAAAAATCACCTATGATCTCATCATCCAAGCAAATATATTTTCGCTTTTGCTGTCAGTATTTGCTCTTCATCCAGACATGTACAATATTTCAGCTATAGCTATACATGTAATTTTCTATCCTGTTTTCAAATTTGTCATTGTATCATAAGCTCACACCTATGTTGCTGACTGGTCTCCGTAATTACCATCTTTAATGATCCATGATGATGACATGGAATTGGGCCCAAACTCTACTTAACACCTGGCCACCGTACGCTATTCTTCCCTTATCTGTGGAAGATGCCCAGTGGATGCCTAAAACCACAAATAGTCCTGATATTTACTGTTTTTTCCCTACACACACAACTATGATGAAGTTTAATTTATAAAGTAGGCACAGGAAGAGATGAACAACAATAGTAAAATAAGAGAGAAGGCTAAGATGGCAGCCTAGGTAAACAGAGCTCACCTCACATAGCCACACTAAAATTACAACTAAAGTACAGAACAACCATTATTCAGAACCACCAGATATCAAGATGAATGGAAGTCCTACAACTATAGAATTGAAGAAACCACATTGAGACTGGTAAGAGGGTGTGCAACAGGCTGGTCCCATATCCACAAATGGCAGGTAAAAATTGGGAGGGATATCTAAGGAGTGAGAGGTCCCAGCTCCACAACACGCCCCCCATCCTAAGATTCCAGTGCCAGGAAGATAAGTCCCCATAACTTTGGCTGTAAAAACCAGTAGGAATTTAGGCTGTGGAAGACAGAAACTGCTGGACTCCCTGGCAGTTCCTCTTAAAGGGCCCACACCCAAACTTACATGCCATTTGAAAGGCACCAGAGGCATATGAGGAGGAACTGAACTGTTTGGCATCAGGGCAAGAGCTGGGGGACAGCTTTCTCCAAAGTAGTACTGCTGGCAGAAGCCATTGTTCCTTCTCTGAGCCCTTGCCTCCCAGCTCCCCTACAGAGCCAGCAGACAGGTGCCATTTCTGAGTCTCCATCAACCTGGTTCATACTATTTTGCCCAACTCTGGTGATTCCCTGAGGCTCTATGCCACCCCATTTTCAGACCCACCCAAGCTGTTTCCAGTGGCTTTTCTATACAAATAGCTTGTCTTGGCTCATGCTTCAGATTTTCCTAAATCCTCTCATACAAGCAGCATCTAAACTTAGCAAGCCCCATACCTCTTGATAAGTGGCCCCAGACTCGGCACTAGAAGCAGCTGATCTTGGTTCATAGCTTGGCCTCACTTGGGCACCTCCAAACCCAGCAAAAGTAGCAGACATTTGCAGATTGCTTTGTAGCTTATGCCAGGTAGACTCAGACAGAACACAAGTGGTGACTGACCTTGGCCTGTACCTCCCAGGAAGCCCCAGAGCCAGCATACCCAGGGAACAGATACAGACCATCTGGGAGCAACACTACCAATCACCTCCACAAGTGACACACTCAAGGGGTAAATTCAGTGGGCACCAGAGCCCGGCTAAAGTAAGTCCTGCTCTGGAGAGTGGGCCCCTAGACAATTGATTTCCCACGGTGGTCAGATGTTGGTGGTCAATGGTCACAGCCAGTCCTTGCAGCTGATTGGCCTGGGTAAATCACTCTCATTGACCTGCCAACAGCAATCAAGGCTTGACTACAAGAGGAGGGTGTACACAGCCCACACAGTGGGTGCGTGCACCTTGAGTATCCAGCTTGGGAGATAAGGAAGGCTGTGCCACTGGACCCTACAGAAGGACACCTACTATAGCAGCTCTGCCTAATACATCAAAACAAACACAGGGAGGCTGCCAAAATTAAGAGACAAAGAAACATGGCCCAAATGAAAGAACAGATCAAAACTCCAGAGAAAAAACTAAATGAAATTTAGACAAGCAATCTACTAGACCCAGAGTTAAAAACATTGGTTATATGGTTGTTCAGTGATCTCAGAAGAGCAGATGAACTCAGAGAGAACTTCAACAGCATAAAAAAGGTCATGGAAACCATGAAAAAGAACCAGTCAGAAATGAAGGATACACTAACTGAAATGAAGAATAATGTATAGGGAATCAACAGTAAAATAGATGAAAGTGAGAATCAAATCAATGATTTGGAATATAAGAAAGCAAAAAATGCCCAATCAGAACAACAAAAAGAAAAAAGAATCCAAACAAAATGAAGATAGTGTAAGGAGCCTCTGGGACAACTTCAAGTGTTCCAACATTCACATCATTGGAGTGCCAAAATTAGAGAGAATGAGAAATTGAAAGCCTTTTTGAAAAAATAATGACAAAAAACTTCCCCAAAATGGTGAAGGAAATAGACATACAAGTCCAGGAAGCACAGAAAGTCCCAACCAAGGTGAACCTAAAGAGGCCCACACCGAGACACATCATAATTAAAATCACAAAGGTTAAAGACAAAGAGAGACTCTTAAAAGAGCAAGAGAAAAGCAGTTAGTTACCTACAATGGAGTTCCCATAAGACTGTCAGCTGATTTTTCAAAAGAAACTTTGCAGGCTAGAGGGGATTGACAAGAAATATTCAAAGTCATGAAAAGCAGGGACCTACAGTCAATATTACTCTCTACCCAGCAAAGTTATCATTTAGAATCAGAGGTCAGATAAAGAGCTTCCCAGAGAAGAAAAAGCTAAAGGAGTTAGTTCATCACCACCAAACCATTATTATGTGAAATGTTAAAGGGATTTATTTAAGGAAAACATGATCAAAACTGTGAGCAATAAAATGTCAATAAAAAATATCCAAAAAACAAAATAAGCAAACAAGCAGAACAGAAATAGAATTATAAATACAGAAAACACTTTGATGGTTACCAGATGGGAGGAGAGTCAGAGGAATGGCCAAAAAGGGTGCACGGATAAGAAGTACAAAACTGGTACTTACAGAAGAGTCATGGGGATGTAAAATACAGAATAGGAAATAGAGTTGCCAAACAACATATATGCATGACCCATGGACGTGGACAATGGTGTGGGAATTGCCTGAAGGGCTGGGGGCTGGGTGAAGGGGAACAAAGGGGAAAAAACTGGGAAAACCGTAATAGCATAATCAACAAAATACAATTAAAGGAAAATAAAAATAGAACAATTATATCAATATACTCTGATAAAATTTATGTGAATGTAGTCTCTCTCTGGAAAATATCTTATTGTTCTCATTTTTTCACTTAAAGGAAACATTTTACATGTTTTATTTGGCATGTCCTAATTTCCAGCATCACTACTCTTATTTGTGAGCTGTTATTAAGTCAAATAAGGTTACTTGACCACGATCACTGAGATACTGTGACAGTGAATCGGATAACTGAGATGGCTACTAAGTGACAAATCAGCAGGGAGCAAATAGAACAAAGATACAGTGGACAAAGGATCAATGGGTGTGACAGGAAATCTCAGGTCAGGGTGACATTTTATCATGGTACTCAAAAGGGCTCACAATTGAAAACTTATGAAGTGTTTATGTCTGAAATTTTCCATTTAATATTTTTATACCACAGTTCACTGCAGGTAACTAAAACTGGGAAGTGAAACCACAGATAAGGAGGACTATTGTAAGCCCTTATTTTGACCAGTGGACCACAGTGGCACTTGGGAGTTCCTAAACATTAGTGTCATTTTGGAGTGGTGTTTAGGAATCCCTGAAAAGTCTGGGTGTTTCCATTTCTCCCAATGCATAGACACCTGAGAAAATGACTTCAAGCCCCTTTGGGGATGGCTTGGAGAAAGACCTACCATAAGTCTTTGTGGCATTATTGCAGGGTCCTTTCTCAAAGGGTCCCATCTTTCTCTTCAACCAGGAGCTTCAGATCTGTGAACTGATAAGGTCCGGGAATTGACAAAGCTATGATTCTCAGCTGTGAGAACTCAAGTCAGATTTCTATTCCATAGATCAAATAATGCTTTGGTAGTCTGGCCATATGTTTAATTGTTAGGGTCAATTACCACCAGAGACCTCCTGAAGTAACAAATTCTGATTGTCACTCTGGGATCTCATCTTACCCACTGAAATCAGGAAGCCCATCTCAATAGCAGCATTCTCCACTATTATCCTTGGCCTACAGAAAACAGCCACCTGGAGATGTTTAAGATTGCTTGGCTCCCTCAGTAATGCATTTCTCAATGCTTTAGTGAAGGGAATATACCTTGGACATTGTCAGAGCCTAGTGGGGTAAGGCAAGATGCACAGGTTACACATGATAAACTACTCCATTATTTCTACCTCTCTAACCCTTTAGAATTCTTCCTGTACATTATATCAGAGAAATTCTGTCCATTGAACATCATCAAATGTAGCCTACAGTTGAGCACAGGTTTCAGACAACTAAGTAAGCCAATAGAGCCACCCCTAGCTGTTTAAGAATATATGTGTTTCAGCTAGCTCTTGCTGTATAACAAAACTTAGTGGCTTATATTTATCATTTGTGTTTTTATGATTTTATAGGTTAAACAATTTGTACTGGGCTCAGCTGGTGGGAGTCATTTTTGCTTTACATGGGCTCACTTATGCATTTGCAATCAGTTGACAGATTGGCTGGAGGATGCTGGTCTTAGATGACTCACATGTCTTAGAGTTGGTTCAGGCTACTGGTTGGGCCATGTTGTCTCCATCAGGTTAGTCCATGCTTCTTCAACATGAAAGCTGGTCCATACATGGCACAAAAGAGGGCAAGCCCCAGTGTGCAAGTGCTTTTTAGGTTTCTGTTGGCAACACATTTGCTAATATCCCATTGGCCAAAGAAAGTCAGAGAGCCATGTGGGAACCAAAGTGTCCTGGTTCCCTGGGGACTATTACTATAACAATCTGTCATAGCATTAAGTCTGAAAATCTATGAAAGCTGTATTATATCTAGGTTCTCTAAATTTGGCCCCAACCCAATGTTCTGTTCTAAAGGTATCTAATACTCTTAGAATCCATCCACATATATGTGAGCTAGGTTTC